ATGTTCTGTAAACAAGGAGAGAGTCAATGTCGGTTTTCAGGGGGTAGTTTGAGGGGAGAGAACGGGAAGAGATTTGCTCAGGGCTGTCCTGACTAGTGAGTGTGCTTTCCTCCTCTGGCAGCACCTCATGAGGAAAGGGCTGGGATGTCCAACAGCAGTTACATCAGCCAGTTCCTCCTCCTGGCATTCGCAGACAGGCGGGAGCTGCAGCTCCTGCACTTCTGGCTCTTCCTGGGCATCTACCTGGCTGCCCTCCTGGGCAACGGCCTCATCATCACCACCATCACCTGGGACCACCACCTCCACACCTTCCTGCTCAACCTCTCCCTCCTCGACCTGGGCTGCATGTCAACCACCCTCCCCAAAGCCACGGCCAATCTCCTGTGGGTCACCAGGGCCCATCAGGCTTCTGCACTGGCCATATAAGACTGTTGAAGGTTGACTTAGTCTTACTTATCACTGCTTGGCTCTCTAGTTGAGCAGTCAGGTTATGTGTTGGGAGCAGTTGGTGCAGTCCTGCCCACAATGTACTGCAATAGAAGCTGTTGGTTCCTGCTGTTCCTCCACCCCCCTCGTGCCCACCACAGAAGAATCATCAGAGAGACCAGGCAGGGTAGACAGCTGGTTAATGCCCTCAGTCTTTATGGCTGCTACACCAAAGGCCCATTTATACCCTTCCAGGTATTAAAAGTCCTCTTTCTGGAGAGATCTGTACCAAGGATGCAAGTAGCAGTTGGGCCAGTTCCTGTCCAATGAGTCTTCCAGTCATTCCCAGTCACGCTCATTTCAGTCTCCAACACACTCAGTTCTTCAGACCCTCCAGTGACTCCAGGGGTGGTAATGGAGTCTGCCCCTGTGTGACTGGATGGTATTAAAGTGCACTGTGCGCCAGTGCCCCCCAGGGCTCTAGAACCCTGTGGTTCTGTTGTGCCAGGCCCTCCAATCCACACAGCCCAGTACACTCAGGTATCCCTCTCCTCCAGCTGGCTGGAGGTAGGGCCCCTCTAACGTTGAGCATGGCATCCACAAGTAACACAGGGCTTTGTGTGGCGTGCTGGACTCGTCTCTGGGTTAGAGACCCCTCTGCTTGGGCCAGCAGATACTTCCGGGGAGACCCGAGCAGCCATCATGCTGGGACTGTTCTCTCTAGTGGCACCACCTGCAGCTCCTGTGCTCTTGCACGCAGAACAGCAGCGGCTTTGCTATCCCACCGGCTCGTGTCCTCACCATGTTAAGCAGAGTGGACCACAGAGACCCTCGTGTCTGATTACTCATAACCTGAGCTGGTCTCCTTGGAGTGCCCCTGTTTCTAAGGGCTACATGGTTCCATTCAGGAGAGGAACAGGTGGTTTTCTGCCTCTCCACTCTGGAGACCCTATCACCCAGTTTCTCACTGAAGTTTTTCCACTCCTCAACTGTTTTTTCCATAGCTGAGACACAGGCATTTAGGGTTAGAGATACTGTCTGCATATGACCTTACCTGGTTAGCAAACTCGTTGACAGTTGGTGCTGTTTCACCATTTCCCACAAAGACCCTTCTTCCCAAAATGGTGGGAAACATAGGAGGAGCACTCATTAAGAGCCTCTTTAGCATGGGCTGACTGCATGGCAGCTCGTCAGGGCTTTCAGGTGTGTCCCCATTACCACAGATGACCTCCTGGACTGCCAGCTCTCTCAGGTAGGTAATAACTTTCTGTGGTGTCCACCTACTGGAGTGGCATTCAGTGTCCTCCCTGTGGGGATACTGGCTTTTGACAGTCATTAAGAGGTGGTGCCAGGGACTGTAAGGACCAATTTTCCTCCCAGTCACCTTATCCATGCCTGCATCTCTGGCTAAGGATCCCAACTGCAGGGCCTCCCTGCCCTCCAGATCTACCCCAGCAGCTCCCAGGCCATCACACCCCAACAGCCACCAAATCAGTGGTTGATCCTCCCTGTGTGTGTGATCCTTTCCTCTATCCTGTGGCTCTTTCATGGGCAGGGATTTAACAATGACCTCAGGTCCGAATTGCTGCTGCGTGTTGTTCCTGCCCAGGCTGACTCTCCCTTGGAGCAGCGCCTGCCCCTGTCTCCCAGTCCTCATCCCTCCCCAACGCTGCCGCGGCCCCTGGGGCCCCCATGGCAGCCCGGGGGGCGGCAGCAGCGGCAGGGGCCGTGGGGGCAGCAGCAGCGGGGGCAGCAGGAGGGGCCCTGGGGGCGCGGGCAGCTGCAGTTTTCCTGCACCCCTTCCCAACCAGGAGCCACCCCTGGCACCCAGCAGAGCACAGCCAGCATGCCAGCAGAAGGGAACAGCCATGCCTGGGACCCCAGGCTCGGGCACGGTGACCTGGCCAGAGAAAGGAGCAGAATCATTTTTCATAACAACAAAAATCAGTTCATGTCAAGGGGGGTTGGAACTTGGTGACCTTTAAGGTCCCTTCCAACCTTAATGATTGATTCTATGATTCTTTGCAGACAGTAAAAACCCCCTGTGCACCCTGCTCTAGGTGAACCTCCTCTGGCAGGGGGGCTGGACTAGATGATCTCCAACTCTGCCAATCCTGTGATTCTCTGATCTCTGTGCCCTCCCATACAAAGACCCCATCTCTGCTCACACTTTCCTCCCTGGCCCCTGCTTTGGCTTCCTTTGTACCATAATTTGGTGATTCTGAGATTGTCACCGTGGGCATTCCTACCTTGGTCACATATCAAATAAAAATAGTGCCTTCACCTAAGATATGTAGTGTTCTGCAATTCCTCATGCTCTGATCTTGTGAGAGGACCCCCCATGTCAGGGTGAGCCACCTGTACACACACGTTAACAGGGGTCCAAACACAGCTTCACTCCTGGGGGACTGCAAAAAACTCTGGGATTTGGTGAGAAGAAACCTCACCAAGTTTTACAGAGAGAAGCAGTCAGTCCTTTGCCAGGGGCAGAATCA